CAAGAAAATGTGTGTGTGTGTGTGTGTGTGTGTGTGTGTGTGTGTGTGTGTGTGTGTGTGTGTGCGTAGTACTCACTGTTGATGATGGAAACGTCTCTGTTCTTGTAGTACTCTGAGAGCGTGACAGATGATCCAGAGACTGAGGCCACAGTTCGCACCGTGCGGCTGCTATCAGAGCAGTCGAGGTAGCTCTCTTTCTTCACGTTCTCGTGACCTCCCCCTCCCAGCAATCTGGCTCCGCTCAGGCTGTCGGAAAAGCTGAAGGAATCCCGTGTGCGGTCCCGGCAGTACGACTTGTAGACCCACTGCACTATCGGCGTTTGGGTGGACACGCTGTTGAACTGGCACGGCAACACCACCGACTGGAACAACACCGCATACTTCTTCTCATCTCGTACTAACACGTGAATTCCACAGCACCGCTCAGGGAGGAAACCTGTGGGAGGACAACAGCAAGGTCGGCTTTTCTGTACACAACAAGGTCCGGCCAGGCTAAACAGGTCCAAGAAAGAATCGTAAGTGTACATAGACGAGACATATGGAAAGATGTTGAAGCGCTTATTCGATAACCTAATTTTGTGTACTAGTGAACTAGTACTATGTATTAGTATACTCTTTCTACTAACTTGTTAGACAACTCAGCACATAAGTGAATGATGAGGGTGCATCAGTAGAGTGGCTCTGTCATACTAGTGACTACTGCCTTCCACTGCTGAATAACATTTATCCACAGTCATAGGACAGCTACATGTTACTAGTGAAGCAAAACTAATAGTGGGTATTTTGCAGCTAGTTGAGCTTAGTGGTGGTACTTGTGCAGCGCAGTAGATTTAATTGCTTACTAGGGGGCCAATTGTAAAATTAAAAAAAACAAAAAACATTTCCACTACTTTCTGCACACTAGTAAGACATTTTTGGCATACGAGAAGGATAACTACCGAAACTACCTGTTACTTGTCAGGAAAAACTGTGCTTGCCACCAGTGCTACGAGAGAATAGCTATAACTTAGCATGCACTTCCCAACTAGTGTCAGTAGCAACATGTAGTTGTCCTTCTAGTGTACCAAAGTTGTCCTTCTAGTGAAGACAAAGGCGCTATTTTTGTGGACAGGTGCCAGTGCGCTCCGGGTTAAAACAGGTCTAAGATAACACATTAGGGAGCACGATGCACCTAACTTGGCATTCTAGTGCATAGAGTTGTCGCACCCCTGATGCACTTGATAATTTGGCCCCGGAGCAAAAATGAGCGCATCTCCATTTTCCTGCCAGGGCAAGTCTAGTTCAGCGTGTTTGTCAATTTACTGGATTGCGCTCTGCGTCGCTCGGTGTTCTGGCAGATCATTTTCTATTATTACACTCCCCCAGCGCACCTGCCGATATAGTTCGAAAAAAAAAAGACTCAGTTTTAGTCTATCTGCTTTTGGGTAGACTAAAATTGAGGCAGGTGCAGACAGATTCCGCAGACGTGTTGTAGATGTCATTATATTTCAAAACTATCACCAACAGCATGGGACAAGCCCTTTGAATCAGTGTAGAAATCAATTCTTTGAATGAATTATAATCATTATCATTTTAAAAATATTTCAATAGCACAACAATTAGGTGTGGGGGGTCACACACGGACGCACGGTGCAGGGGTGCAAGGCAGTTCCATTTGCCCACGTCACATGCACAGCCGACTACATCATCCACAAAGGGGGGATCTTGTCGTTCCTTTAACGCTAAAAGCATCTTTCTCTGCAAAGTGCTTTCCTCACTTTGCTGAATTTAAATACATTAATGAGGGGAGCCACTTTGATTGGCCGGGAGTCGCCTGCCTCCCCTCCCACAATGGCATACAGTGATGCAAACACCCCCTTCAATCTGCGCTAGTCAAGCCAAATACCAAAAGAACGAAAACGTGACCCATGCGCACACTTCGACTGCACTTTGTGCTAGACTTGCAGTGGGCATGAAAATAGGGCCCAAAGAGTACCTTCAGCTGAATATCCTTGACACTGAATAAATGTTCAAATGTTTTCTGTAAAGCATGAGCATTTAGGTCCATGTACGAATACTTTGTACACTCTTGTGCCACATCGGTAGAACAATTCGGCGCACTATTAAAATGACTATGTCTAATAAGTGGGTTTTTTTTTCAACATTGCTGCACACTAGGAGAAAAACTGCAAATTACTAGTGAAGCAACATGTGCCACTTGATGTTTGTGGCCCACCCATTCTACTAGTCAAGAGCTACTGCTAAATGTAAAACAGTCAAATTCTATTACTGTAACTCGTAGTGTAGTACCACACATTTGTCAACCAGTGATAATTTCGCCTCACTGGTAACATGTAGTAGTTCTTCTGGTAGGCCAAAGTGGTTGCACAAGTGAGGACAATGAGTCCTCTACTACAAGGGGCTTAAGCTTGATATCAAGAATATGGAATCAAAGTACCCTTTGGCTTTCCATAGACAAAAACACACAACGAGATGCCGAGTCTGAAAACTAGAGAAATACAAGACAAAATATTTCCAGCAAACGCGCAGTGTGATGTGACAAAAACCAAGGCTGAGTTGTAACTTGAAAGGTCCCGTTGTTGTTTTTGTGCCTGTGAAGCTGCAGTCACTGGCGTCACATGATGACCAGGAGCTTGAACCCAACAGTTCAGGAGCAACATTCACCCCAAGGAGAATCATGTGAAAGAAACATGCCCCCCACACATCCACACCCACTAACATCTGTAAAAACACAAAGTCAGGTGTTTTAGGGTGCGCACACCGTTGCGCTCAGCATGGTTATCCCTCCCTCTTCTGTCTAACACTGACTTACACTCACCTCATTTTAACTTAACGCATGCTGGAGCATACCACACTGATGACCATCATTATAAATTGTACTGATTTCTCAACCACTGCAAGGTTGTCAGTATTTATGATCATTCTTATGCTGTTTTACTCTTTCACGGTTTTGAGATCCCCACCCCATGGGCCTTAAAAGACCAACAGGTGGATGTTTAAATGGGAAAAGGTGCAAGGGTGCATTGTCAGGAATGTTTCCAAGTCCACAAGCCCTCGAACACAGTCACATGAAAACATACATAATACTGGCTAATGTATATGTATACATGACTTGGATGCTTTTACTATTTCAAGATATCCCCATGACCATTAAAATACCATGTTTATGCTTGTTTCATGAAAACTATGCAAATGCGGTGGACCGCCGATGGACCTCGGTACTGTATCAACTTTCTCTTGAACAGAATAAAATAATTCATGAATACACACAAATACATACTGTTAGGTTGATTGTTTTTAGTTATCATACATTTGCATATTATTAATGATAAATTGCAATGAAGAACGCTTATGCCTGCAATGATAAATTGATTATGCTTGCAATGAAGAACGCTTCTGCTTTTAATAAAAATATAGTGCTTTTCATGAAGATATGCTCACATTTATAATATAAGAATGCTTAGTGCACTGTGTGGCAGTTGAGGGACGCAACCACCTTTCTGACAAAGTGGTTGGAAAGAGATAAGTATGAAGACAAAACAAGAGCAAGGTCGGATGTGGACGGAACTGTCAACACCAGCTGCAACTTGGTGTTTTTGTAATGATTGCACACATGTATGTAATTTTCACTCGCATACACACACATAGTCAAACAAGTTCAGTGTGTCTTCAACAGCCCTCACCCTTTAGGTTGGACACACCCATGTATTAGATACCCAATAAATGAGAGGGCGAGCGGGGAGATCCTTGGGTGACGTGCAGAGAACTGAAACCTAACGCTTCTCCTCGTTCCCCCCTGGTACCAGAATTGAGTCTCCTGTCTCATCCTTGTGTTTTATTTCTGAATGTCAAATTGATGGACCTGACACACACACACACACACGCACACACACACACACACACACACACACACACACACACACACACAAAATTAGACAGTCTCAGTGTACACAAACTTTGAAGCAACTGTACAAAAGAATATGTTCATCTGGTGCATTTTTGGGTCACTTTTGGGAGAAAATTTCAGAATGAAAGAATGACATTTTGGGATATTTTTATTGTTAATTGTTTTTATTGTTAGTATTCAAATGTCAAAAGAGGTCAAATTTGACGTGTGCCATCACGGTACTATAACTATATATAAATCAAAATCTATTTATTTATTTATTTATTTATTTATTACACATTTACACTTGTATGACCAAGAAACATGTTACTTTCAAAACCTCAGTTTTATTTATTATTTTCAAACATATATTGTTACATTAATAATTTTTTGATGAAAGGAACCTTTGATTATTTTAATTTTCATTCCCTTGGGGAGAAACCGTTTCCACAGTCAAACAAATCAGAGGTTGACGGATGGTATTCTTTCAGAGAGGTATTGGACTCCAAGGCAACAGTGTGTACCTTTTCCAAGGATCCCAGACAGTAAAAGTCAAGTGTACAAAGATTCTTGGAGGGTAGCATCCCAGTTTCAAGACTTTACCCCAAAGATACAACGTTGTACAGTACTGTGAAAGATGAGAATACAACATTACAAAAGGTGTGTTTCCAGCCAGCCTTTATTAAACTACACTCGTGGCATTTTAGAATTGAACACGTTTTAGAACCAAACAAAACTAAAACAGATATGATACAGGAAGAGCTTTCTCTTTACTTCCAGAAAGCACAGCAACAAAGACAAAGGACTGATTCTCCTTGGATCAAGCGCCCACTTCAGCAACCCCACGCTTTATTACTTTTTTAGTACAAAATCCCTCCCGGAGAGAACATATAAGCTAAAGGAGGAGGTGGGTGGGAGACGGTGGCGGGTTCCTATTGGGATATTAAAAGAGGGGCAAAGAATGTTGCTGGGGTGCGGCATACATATTGCACTTTTGTCTCGAAACATAAAATATTTCACCTATATGTGTCTGTGAAGACACGGGCGCATAGACATGACAAAGCATTTCTACTTTTTTATATTTCAGATGACTTTATTTTTACTGCCCATCAGGGTCAGGGTGGCCATCGGGAATTTCGGGAAAACACAGGATGTAAATTTTCCCGGGCATCCTGGGCATCACGACCGACCAATGCCCAACTCTCGTCAATGATCATTTTTCGGCACGTGACTGCCGCACCCAGTCGCCAACAGCATATGGGGGCACGACGCCAAGTCGATGACAACTTTTCAACGACCCCCCCCCCCCACACACACACACACACACACGCACAACGCCTATTATAAGTGACGGCCGCCGTCGACGACTATTCCCGGGACGAATTTTGTTCCCAGTGAATGTGGTTTTATATATACACTTGGCTCTAGTCAGTCAACTCTTTTAATCCACACACCCTCTAACTCGGATTACTCAATCATTATTTAGTTTTTACAGTCAACTACAAAAGTGGCTGGCTATAAAGAAAACTTCTTTCAAGGTGCTCCACTTGACTCTCAAATCACCGAGCTCAGCGAACCAAAAAAAAAAAAAAAAAGAAAAAAAATGTGCTCACATAGACAATTTGGAATCTGATTATTAGAGTCAAATAGGAACCTTGCATTTGGGCAAAGTAATTTCGTCTTTAAAACGAATGACTGCATCCATCTATCAAGCAGTGAACATGTCGTACAACGAGCACTACTGTGTGAACTTCTACCCGCTCTTTCTTTCCACTTACCTGCCAAACAAGCGATCAAGATCCACCACTTCGGTATGAAAAACATGTTCCAGACGGTGTAAGTGAAGTTCAGTTCATCCAAGTGGATGTTGCGCTGTTTTCTCTTGCGTTTCATCCTGGACGTCGCTTGTTTCGCTCACACAACCTTCGGTTGTCGGTGCACTGAGTGGGGGGCAGATAACGGTACGCAAAGAGTCAGACTAACTATTGAAACGCATTGTCCGGGAAATATTTTCACAATAAGAGCAATACTGGGGTGGTTCCTGTTTATCCCTTTTCGGCATAGAAGTAGCAACGGCAGCACTTGTACATTGTTTGTTGCCACTAGTAAGACAGGTCAGCAGACTATTCGAACAATTCTCTTGCTACTCCATTAATCCCACGAGCTGTATGACATTTCTCCACACTGGTAGGACAATATTATGCTAGTTAGGCAAAAGTGTGCAGTCACCCTACAAGTACTGCCCCTAAATGTTAACTAGTAAAATTATGTCAATGCATAGTTGTGACTCACCAGTGACATGCAGTTAGCACTTTTTTAAAAACTTTACTTGCTGAAACAGCTTAATGGATAGTAACATGCAAAACTGCACAATATTTGACAAGTGCTGGCTACTAGTGCTAGAAGTCCATCCATCCAGCCATCCATTTTCTGATCCGCTTTATCCTCACAAGGGTCGCGGGGTGTGCTGGAGCCTATCCCAGCTGTCTTCGGGCAGTAGGTGGGGGACACCCTGAACCGGTTGCCAGCCAATCGCAGGGCACAGAGAGACAAACAACCATCCGCGCTCACACTCACACACAGGGACAATTTTGAGTGTTCAATCAGCCTGTCATGCATGTTTTTGGAATGTGGCAGGAAACCGGAGTACCCGGAAAAAACCCATGCAGGCACAGGGAGAACATGCAAACTACACACAGGGAGGCTAGAGCTGGAATCAAAACCAGTATCTCTGCACTGTGAGGTTGACACGCTAACGGCTAACCAGTCGACCACTGGGCCGCCTAGTGCTATAAGTGACATACTGTAAATGTACGAGTTAGTTAACTTTGCAAATGAGGATTCGGCCATTGGTCAATCCTTCGCACACAGGTTCTTTTCTCTCTCTAAAAGGTAGAATAAAGACCAAACACCATGACGTCTTTTGTTCCATTTTAACACAACACACTACAAATCGATTCTGTAACCTTTTGATGTGGTCAGAGTGCCCTTCAACACATAGACAAGAAGAATATATAGAAGCAATATGTAAATGAGAGGCGGAGAGTCATACCTTCATGTAAAACAGCTTAAAAGAAGGCAAAATCCATTGTGATCCAGGTGTTGGTCATAAAAGTTGGCATCTGTTGGGAGACAGACCAGTCCCCCCTGGTGTCCTCAGCCTGACCTTTCAAATGGTGCCAGCAACATAGATAGGAGATAACTGTTCCTTTTTGATGGAAAACATGTTCTCTGGAGAATCCTCACAAAAATGGGTTTGATTAGAAAGCAATAAAGAAAATAGTAAATCACAGTAATTCCTCTTCAACCTCTCGGGCTTCACTAGTAGTAATTGTCAATTAATGCACAATTCTGTGCAACTCGTGAAATGTAGTTGTTCTACTAGAGTGCCAAAGTTGGACTTTTAGTGAGGGCAAAATGCGTACTAGTACGTGGACATCAAGATAGTGAATTAATGAGCATTTCTTTGATATCTGAAAAAAAGGATTCAGTATGACTGTCTTGCCAGGAAAGTTTTACTCCAGTCCTCGGTGATATGTCTGCACACTAGTTGCGTAACGCTGGCATCAAAAACCATCACCACATAGGCAAAACTATTTTGGTGCTACTTGTAGGATTGAGGAGAATATGACAGCACTTGACACAAGCCAACTAGTTAGGCCTAGTAGTGTTACCCGTGCCAATTTACTATTGGTTAAAATGTAATCAACTTGATTAAATCAAGTAAGCCAAAAGTTCAAATACTGAAACATGGAAACGTTTCGAGGTTAAAAAGGGACAGTGATGAGAACATCCACTTCTGTCTGGCTGAAGTGTCATTAGTTTAGCTCTCGGCTAGCTTGCTTAGCGTACTTAGCCTTTGTGTGTTCCCTATCGGTTTCAAATAAACGTGAATGATTGTGTTCAAGAAATCCAAATTTGTCCGTCTGGAGGTTTTTTTCTGTCGGGAAATTGGTACAAATAAATGGGGGTTTACAATGCTCTGTGAGGGTGTTTTTCCACCAACTTTCAAGCCTCTAAATTCCATTAGAGCAGTTAAACATCGCACAAAGCGCACCTGGCATTTTGTCACATGAGGCTTAAAACTTTTGAAACAACGCCTGCAAGCTTTAAGGCCTACAATTAGGCATGCATCGATGTATTGTAATGCAAAAATGCTCGTTTGGTAGCCTCTTTTTTTCACCTCCATTCTGCGGCATGCGCAGAGGATTTCAGCAAGTGGCTTATTGACCATTTGAAATAGAGTACCCTACTACCCCGGTACTTGCATTAGACATGAGGTACTGCCCTCTAGTGTTCCACATTCAATTATCAATATTGAGTCTTTCAGCCTGATTTTATTTCATATGGAACACAATTTACAAACAGGAGTTTTACAAAACATTACACACGTGGAAAACATATTTACTAAAGCTGAACGACAAAACTGTTTATTTCCATATAAAACAAGTCTATAAAAACAATGCTAGCCTTTCTGAGAGACTTGCACCCAAATAAAATGACAGACACATGCTATTCATTGTATCCCAACAGCGTCTAACTAGAAATACACTACACCCATGTTTAATCACAGAGGCAGAGAACGTGAAAGCTTTGCCACTCTGTTTGGAATGTGACCAAACTGCAGTAAAATTACACTCACACATGTGAAACGCAACACACAGGCCTCAGCCAAGAACACTAAAATCCTGCATACAGTATGCTAACAAAAAAAAAAAGTTCTTTACAGATACACTCACATAACAATTAGCAATTTGTTTTTAAAAGATCTGAATATATGGGACTTAAGGATACATGGAATTCTGTTTTGTGGGTTGACATGTGTGAAAAGTTCTAAAAAAAACTAGGGAAATAGACTATAGCATTTTCTCTCATTGGAGTAATACAACTACTTCCACGGACTTGTGACCCTAATAAGGAAAAACACACTAGAAAATAGATGGCAATACAAGAGAGATGTCAGTGTAGCCATTGTTGAGATGATACAAAACAAGTCGAGGTAGACGCTCACAGTAAGATGCGTTTTAAGGAGCCACAGTAAAAAGAAAAGGCATTTCCTTAACACCAACGTGCCACAAGACGATGGCGAAGCACTATTTTCGTCTGTATAGAAGTCAAGCTGGCTTCAGAGTTCCAACACAGAGATGTCTGTTAAATTACTTTTAATTTTATGCAAATTCTCATTTCAATTTAAAGATACCAAGTTGGAATAGAGTGAAACCCAGCAAATTTGCCGTTCAGTATGAATATTATTTTTTAGTTCAAAAGAACTATGTTGATGATTTTCATTTCAACCAAAATTGTGTTTTGACTCCATTACTTGCAGACTTTCGATTCCCAGCAGGGCTCATTGTCCAAAATTCCCTCTCTTGAATTCCCATTGGAATTTTCCAGAAACTTTACGTAGTTTGCCACCCCACCTTTAGTATTTAGCCAAGAATAAATGTTATAGATTGGATACCAATTCCGTGGGTTGTTTGTAGTTGTCAATATTTTAATCAGCCCAGGAAAGTGGCAAGCCCATATCAGGGATAAAAAAGACAGCCCCACCTTTTAAACTGATTCCGAATGAGTTCCTACAGTGTGAAAGTCCTGTTGGGGAGAGGGGCCATCAAGATGAAGGATGGTGATCAATGCACCCGGGAGGCTTAGTCATCTCTTCTGCGCGGCTTATCGGATGGAACAGGAGGAGGCCTGTCCCGAGCATCATAAGGTTCATCGTAGCGGTGGTCATCACGGTAGCGCCGATCTCTGTCGCCGTTATTGTCATCATCGTAGCGATCATGGTACCTATCGCGGGGATCTGTACAGTTGCCACGGCGATCATCATCGTCGTCATAGCGCTCACGGCGGTCATTGTACTTGTCACGTGCATCCGAATAGTCGCTCCGCCGATCGGTGTAATCGCTCCGACGGTCGTCGTAGTCGCTACGGCGATCGTCATAGTCGCTACGGCGATCGTCGTCATACCTGCGACGGTCGTTATAGTCATTACGGCGATCGTCAGAATCCCGTCGTGGGTTGTCGTCACGTTCGCGTCGTCCCTTGTCCTGCTCCTGAAGTGGGGCCCTCACACTGGACTCATCGTCGTCGTCGATATATCTATCCACTGACCTCTCAGCTCCATTCCTGTCAGGCACTTTGTCACGGGGCCCTTCCTCACGAACTCTGAAAAGTCAACACAACAATGTCACGTGACTGAAATTGTTTGCTTTGACAAATGTTCGTTCTGTAACGTTTCATTTGGCTGCACTGCTTCTAGTATGTATTTATTTATTTAATTAATTAATTTATTTTTGTGAAATCCGATTTCAGGCTGTATGTTTTGCCATGTCAGTCTAATTTGTCAAGTGCTTTGAGAATCCGGAGAGCTGGCCCATGTAACGACAACATGTTACAAGTTGCCTGCTATTTTGCTGTTCAAAGTTTCTTACTCTACGCTGTATAGCAGCTCCAGACAGACCTATGTGACAAGTACACTGAATCATCTGAAAACTTATCTCAGTGCTTTTGTGACTGCAGCTTAGCACGGCTTCGCCAACTTTCTCTGACCCATCCGCCTTTTGTGATAATGGACTTTTTTCACTGTCATGGAGGCAGTGATCATGGCTTATGCTATGCCGACACCCAGGGACGGGGTGGCCATCGGGAATTTCAACAGCCAGTGGATTTTCAGGCCGGTCCTGGGCATTATGGCCGCCAACCCGTCGACAATCGTTTTTCAGCATGTGACTGCGCATTATGTTTCGACGCATGATGGCCCGTCATCAATAACTTTTCAACACATGACGGCCTTTCTCTTGAGGTTGGCCATACATTTTGGGCACCAAGAGAGATCCAAAGATGTAATTAAGACGCATTACAGCAGATGGCCGGTAGAGTCCAAAGCACTACCTTCGGGGAAAATTCATACCTTTTATTGACCTCTAAACCAGAGTACCCAGAGAAAACCAACGCAGGCACAGGGAGAACATGCACAACCCCACATGAGAAGGCCAGGGCCCGGAATCGAACCCATGACCTGTGAGGCGGGCATGCTACCCAGTTTATCACTGTGCCGCCTCTTTTGTCTAATTAAATTTATCTTGAGCGTGCCCACGAGAAGGAAAAAACAAAACAAAACTTTACCCCATTGCGTATTCCTCTTCTTCCTCTTTCTTCTTGCGGCAGCACACGCAGTAGATTATGACGACCAGGATGATCAGCAACGCGACGACTCCTGCAATTATTCCTGCTGTGGAGCCGATGTTCATGGATGCTACACAGGCAGAGTGGAAGACACACTAGTGAGGGAGGGAAGGGTATGACAATGCACTGTGACCCCCCACCCCCTTTCAAAAAAAAAAAAAGTTTATTTGGAGAAAAGAAGCTGCAGGAACGGCAAAGGAGTTTCCTACCTGGCATGACTGTGAGGGTGATGTTGCAGCTGGCAGAACGGATCTTGTTGCTTGAGGTACAGGTGTAGTATCCTGATGTCTCTTTGGTGATGTTGAAGAGAGACAGGATGCCACCAACTGACAAAAACGACACAACCAGAGAATCTTTTAGATGGTTGCACTTGCAATCTCGCTCCCTCACTCTCACCCTCTCCCTCACCCATGGTTGTGATTCACTTTTTCCCCATTTCATGTGGTAAACATAACATGCCAATCATTTGTTGGTCATCCTAATTTTAGCTACATACAGGTGGTAGTAAGATAACAGTACGAGAATTGAATGTATATTGTGCAATTACTGTCGGTAGTCCTTGGATCTTTCTTATGGGGAACACTGCGCGCATTAAGACTGGTCCACTCATATTTGGGTGGTGGTGAGCCTTCCTCTGAGTGACAGGTCAGGTTGATGTTCTGGCCATATTGTGGTTTCCCCTGGATCTTACAGATGGGTGTCGATGGAGCCACTAAAAAACAACAACACACATTTAAAGAAATGGCACATTGTTACATAGTGAAGAAAAACTTACACCTAATGAAAAAAAAAAGGCATAGATGGTATGTGATGCACATTTAGTTTCAATCCAGTGGAAAAATGTTACCTAGAACCACCAAGCGAACAGTGTCAAAAAGCGTGCCCTCCGTGTCGCCTGGGATCTGGACGCGGCACTCAAATTCTTTATTGTCCGCAAGTGTGATCGATGAAATTTTCAAGTTGCCCTTTCCCGTAGCCAGGTCCACATCCATTGACACATGTTTTTTGTAGGCTTCTTTGATGTCCGTCAATGCACCAGCAGAGTAATAAGTGGCAATCACTTTCTGTTCAAATAAACATCACATTGGTTATCACACTAGTGGCGATTTATGTTCACCTGGCTTCCTTTTTTTTTTTGAACCAGGGGGATGATTTTTGTTCAATTTTGTCATTACAAGCTTTTTTCAATAATATGCAGCTGAGTTTATTTCAATGTTCACTTTCTGGCTCCGTGACAACCTTTGGTCAATTGAAACGCATAAAAAGTACATTTTAAAACTCCTTGTTTTTTACTGTAATATATAAAAAAAGAACTTGGGTATGTTTCATGAATCTTCTGCAGTCGAATGGATGAACGGAAAAGGTCTGATTTCAAGAAGTGACATTCCCTCTGCTGACTACAGAGAATAATTACTTTTCAATTTAAGTAGTGGAAGCACCCTCCACTGTAAAATAACTTTACAATTACCAATAATAAACTAACAAACAAAAAAAGTTAAGTAGTACTGAGAACATCAAATCTATATATACTGAGGTTTGAAGTGTAAAAAAATAAAAAGAAATGATTTTTTTTTTTAAATTAATGTCATGAATTGATGTTCGTTTTATGCTTTCTGAAGTAAAATGATGCAAAATAAAACAAACTTAAAAAATGCAAACAATAATTTGAAGCCACAAACGAACCGAAAGGGTAAAGTACATTTGAACAAGGGCTCAAGAATAAAAGTGGACGAAGACAAAATTGTCTACTTATTGCTTTGAGAGACAGTAAGATAGCTTGATAAAGAACAAACCTCATCAGCATTAGCTTCTAATCCTTCCACAGACCAGCTGATGACTACTAGTGGTGGCCTGGTGAATGTAGATTGAAACGAGCATGGCAACGTTACGTTGTCACCTCTGGCATACTCATAGCGATCTTCTGGGATGCTCACTTGCAAGGCACCAACACACATCACCGCTGTAATGATGTCAGTCAACAGATTATTTACATTTTTTTTGAACACCATTAGAACAAACATTTTTACAAGTAGGTGACAGTAGGTGAATTCAGCAGCTTCCTCCTTATGGAGCTAACTGTAAATAAGCTCAACACACACACACACACACACACACACACACACACACACACACACACACACACACACAAAAAAAAAAGAGTGGAAAGTATTTTGTTTACTGTTAATTTGTTTTGCTCATGCAGGACAGTTCAGTTCCAATTATCCTGTCAGATTTTAGCTCCAGTATCGAAACGTAAAAAGAGGGAAAATAATCTGTGGGGAGAGTTTTTTCTTTGTATCAAGTTATCAAACCAGATATAAATGACCAGATAAAAAGGCCCTATTCAAGGCATTTCTTTTTTTTTCCACTTAAGTACAGAAGTTGAAATAGTAATTTTACCAGTCTCTTTTTTTAAATGGTATCTTGTCTACAAATAAGTAGGCTAGAGAGCAGGGGTGTCAAACTCATTCTACATTGTGGGCCACGTACGGACTCGGTAGATGTCAAGTGGGCCAGACCATTAACATTACACAATACTGTGCTATAAATAACCAAAATATCATGTCTTTCCTTTGTTTTTGTATAAAGAAGCATTGGCGCATTGATACCGTCTGCTGTGTTGGGTCTGTCTCAGTGACAGACTAAGATTGCTGTTTTCTTCTCTGATCAAAACAATGTTGTCTTCTACTCTGATCAAAACAGTGTGTCCTTTAGCGGATAATCCATGAATTGCATTTTATTAAAAAAAAAAAAAATGTTCATTCTGTGTCTTTAATGCATTTTTTCACAATTATCCTGCGGGCCAGATCGAACCTCCATGGGGACCGGTTCCGGCCCGCCAGTCGTATGTTTGACATCCCTGCTATAGAGTGTGAGAAATACCGGGAAAAAAAAACTTTGCTCACTACATGCAGTACCTGAACAACACTACGGCAAAATGGTTTGATTCTAGATGGTTCTCCATACAGAGGATATCGTGTGATTTGAAACACAGCCTGTGTACTTTGTCGAGCAAAAGGGAAACAGCCATGTTGGGCGTTTCCTCGTTTTATTATCATAGTAGCTTTTAAGACATCAAACGGAGACAGAAAAACATATGGATTGAAACCATTTTAAAGACAATGGAGTCTATAATTTGGGACGATTTGACTGGTCCAGTAAACACACAAACACTGTATAGGACAAATAACTTTGGAGAAAGCAAATGTTTCATAATTAGCACAAACGAATACAGGTATGTCCGCTTAAAAATATTTGGTGCGCGCAGTGACTCACTCAGATAAAGAAGTGTGATGCTGAAAATTCTTGTCTCCATGGCCAGAAAGTTGACTTGGACTGTGGCCTTGTGGAAAGCAAGGACAACACCGAAACCCGTCTTCATTAATCTGCGTGCCGCTTTCAGGTGAGCCGCTTCAACCTGGATTTGGTTATTGATTGACAGCTCCCAAGAGCCAATCACAGTCGGTCTCGCTGAACAGGTAGCATCTTGTCCCACCCACCAGATGTGTCTTGGCCTGCACACCCCTCCTCCATAACGTCAACCACTTTGGTTTGGAAATGAGCTCTATCAAGAGACTCTCATCACATGTAAGAAGGTCTGGCATGTGTTTAAAAGTTACACCATTGACAAAAAGCACCAAATTTCACAAGATTTACAGTAGTTAACTCAAGTCGCTGGACAATGAGGGGCATGTTCATACAGGCAAGTGGGTGGCGCAACAAACAAACTGTTTCAGCCACAAGTGCTGGAACCTGTCCGACTGGTTGGAGAATGTGACCTCTGTGTTTTAGTGTATTGTACTTAGCAGAGATAGCAAAAATATTTACACACCCTGTATGCTTTTAGCATTTGTCCTACATTATACCAGTACTTTTGAAAATTAAGTAATTACTGTTAAACATAGTTTATTAGTAATTTTATAGTTTTATTAATATGTCTGCAGTGCATGATTCCGTTAGGGAAATTTTTTTTCTGAGCATTTAGCCTACATTTTAAAAATACGTTTGAACGTGTATTAACTCTAATTCAAAAGTAACTGAAAGACTCATCCCGACCCTCTCTGCCCTCTCAAACACACACGGGGTACAGCTATAGCACAAACATGGGAACAGTAACTGTACTGGAACAGAAAGGCTTGTGAACTTTTTAATGATTTAAAACTCAAATACAGAAATGAATGAATTGCTGGGGGGATGAACGGGGGCTAGAGCAGGCCCAGTCCCAGTGTAGCGCCGGGCATGAGTGTGCTGAATTGCCTTACGAGTGAGGACAAACAATATAATAGTCGACGGACCTTAAACTGGATATTAACGATATTTTAAAAAAACGCTCTAATGGCTTTCCATACCCGCAACCAGCTCTGCTGTTATATTTTTTGACATAGTAAAACACTAAGTACTACAGTGGCAAAGTTCTATGGCAATGTTCCTGCTATTTTACTTTGTTGTGCTAATGTATTATTCATTTCAATTTGTTATCCGAAGTTAATTTTGGAATAGCCTTCAAGTAGATTTCCACGTTTAAAGAAGCAAGGTGTAGTTTCACACTTCTGTCACTTTGAGGGCACACAAATACCATATTCACCAAGTTTACTTTCGGTTAACACTGATGGTAATTTAAAACCAACCGAAAAAGGTTTGTCAATGCCTATGTATGCCACAAGATGGTGGCAAAACACGTTTCTCTATTCAACAAGCCTGGCCAGACTGAATGGAGCTCCTATCCCTAATTCAAATTTGTTTCTTGGCCCTAAAATGCCACTAGAGGGCGTCAAAGCAATATTTTTCCTTCCATCCCTCCATCCACCCATCTTCTGATCTGCTTATCCTCACAAGGATCGCGAGGCGTGCTGGAGCCTATCCCAGCTGACTTCCGGCAGGAGGCGGGGGACACCCTGAACTGGTTGCCAGCCAATCGCAGGGCACACACAGACATACAAACTTTCGCGCACATACTCGCACTAGGGACAATTTAGAGTGTTCCATTAACCTGCCATGCATGTTTTTGGAATGTGGGAGGAAACCGGAATACCTGGAGAAAACCCACGCAGGCACGGGGAGAACATGCAAACTCCACACATGGAGCTGGAATTGAACCCGGTAACTCTGCACTGTGAGGCCAACGTGTTAACGTGTTTTCAATGAAGAAAAAAAAAACTACTATATGTCTTCACCAGAATTCACCTCAGTATGATGCAGTGCAGTTGTACAGGACTACATCCGTGCATGTTAAAACCATTTTAAAAATTAACTCAACCAATTTCATTAAAACCTAATGAAGTAGTGACTCATGGGCCATGATTTTGGGATCTGGATATTGTTTCAAATCTGGGATTTTATTTTCACATACATCCAAAAAGTTACGGTAATGATTAGGAAATGCAAAGTTACTGGACTGGCATTGCCCTAACGAACACAGCTGTAATCGGGAGCCAGTTAACGCGGCCAACCTACTGTAGTCACGATTCATGGCGGGTTTAGAATTCCTCTCTGCGGCGACTGACCAATCAGAGACGTTCACGACAAATAACCACTGCCAAAAAAATACAACTTCTCTAACCTATCGACGTCATGGGCATACAAACATAAAAAAGTGCAAATATGTAGCTGAATGTTGGTCGGTTAACTTTGAAAGCTCATTCCTGCATATGTAAAATGCAGATAAAGATGATTTTTCGACTCCATGGCCGAAACCTGTGTCTATTTGTCACACAAAAGTAACTATGTGTAACACTATTTTTGACACCGACTTAAAAAATAATAATAAAATGTCCCTCCCCCCGCCCCCCCAGCACATTTTTAAGATACAGTATTGTCATTTTTTGGTTTTTAATTTTGGCTGATAAAAACTTGGGCGATACCATGAATTTTTTCCTATGACATTTCCAGAAAAAAAACACCTGTTTCTGAACCAAACCCTTAAATAATAACTATTACTCAATATAATACAGTTTATATTATTATTATTATTCTTATGAAAACAGCAGGAAAAAATAAAGGCAGATTTGGAATGATCACCCCAAAAAAATCATTGAGAAAACTTGACTTAAATCTTTGATAAAAAAATAATTTTAAGTTTGTCGATCAGTGTTTTGCAAATGCATTGTAAAATAAAACGTGAGCAATAGTCTGAATTATAAAAAATAACCTTTTTATAATCCATATATTCAGTGCACGAAAAACCGAATATCAAAATTCACAAATTGATTCAAACATAAGATCAGAATGTTAAAAATTAATTAACATGGTCCTGTGACTAAGTATAATCTCCATTAGTTCACGTGATTTGTATAAATAATGTTGTAAATAAATTATGTGCCACTATTTCTCTGCCTCCAAAAGGATTGGTCTGCAGGTTGTCATACTTGCTGCTATTTGGGCCACTTGCATCTGCCATGAGGAGAGAGAAAACATCCATGCATTAGGACACAATTAAGTCCACATGGGAACCTCTCGTTGTGTAAAAGTTCCGTGTGTTTTATACCTGCAGGAGGAGGGGTCAAAATATTGACGTCTGTGAGAACAGATGGAGCTGTTGAGGTGACAGCGTTGAACCATTCTTAGTTGGGGAGTTGGATCAGCTCGTGGAATACAGTCACAACGATCCACGTCGATCTCACAGTCGGGCATCCATGAAGTCATTGGAAAATCTAAACAGGAGGTAACAATTATAGTTGCAAGTCAGTGATGGGAAAGGCAATTAGAATATTTATTTGATCTGCTTCATGTGGTTCTTGTGACTGTTTGCTTTTATTTATTCCGATATGTGGAAAAATTCACACCTTGCACCTTGGACACCTAATGCAATGTGACCAGAAAAACTAAACACTCACCTGGGCTACTATTAGAGGGGTACGGTATGCATTTGTCACTTGTACAATCCCAAATCCAACCGCTGACGCAAAGTCTCCTGGAATTCTCAGCCTCTGAAAGCTGTCCAATCAGAGAACAACTGAGAAAAAAAAAGTAGCCTATGTTCATACAGACTGTACATCAACCACGGCTTACATTTATTTGAGAGCCTGAATTGACAGTTTTCAGACTCACCCACTGCCCCTCTGAGGCTGAGCATTACGTCGTATAATGGCAGGCTCCATGCATTTGCATTCTGTATGATTCACAACTTTTATCAGCACAGGCTCCGGTACAAACTTGAATGGAATCACGCTGAGGACCTGAAATGTACGCCACCATAAAACGTATTGGATTTAATTTGCTCAAGAGCACAATGTCATTGAGAAATGCACTTACCGTTTTGTTGACCAGCGCTGTACTTGTGTTTCTGCATGTGACACCTTCTTGATTGCAGCAGCCACCACACCTGTCAGCAGGAAAATGAAAACATCGGTGGAATAACATCTGTCCAGTCGTGCGCCGAATTGTCTTACTGGTGTGGACCAAGAGTGTTGTAGGACATGGACCTCTAGCCGGATATCAAGGATGGCAGATAAATGATGCGTGATCCATACGACGGTGAATATCAAGTGAATGACGTGGAGGCGGTTTCGTGATAGACAAACCTGTGGACGGACACACAAGGTGGCTTGAAGAACATGGACGGGTCAGTACCCAGTTCCTTGGCCACATCCACACAAGTCTCTCTTGGCATGCATTGTGTCCGCTGCCACTCCTCATCTATGGCTGCATGGGAAACACAACGTGCTGTGAGGGGCCGTCAGACACACAATTGACAAGATTCTCTCTCTCTCTCTCTCTCTCTCTCTCTCTCTCTCCCTCACACACACACACACACACACACACACACACACACACACACACACACACACAAATGAAATGTTGGCACACAGAGCAATGAAACACTCTCATACACAGTACTGAAACCCTTCCACACCTAATTTCATGAACTGCGATCATCTTAATGGACTGAAATATTCCTTTCAGTTACGAGTTTAAGAGTAGATTCCATGAGAGCGTTTTAGTAGTATACAGCATGGGAACAAAAAAATGACAGCTACAGTGTGACAGTGATTCAGTAGTCTGCCTTAGAATTTTAGTAATGGATGTGAGCTTTTCAGTAGTCTGCATGAGAGCATTTTAGTCGTGTGTGTGTGTGTGTGTGTGTGTGTGTGTGTGTGTGTGTGTGTGTGTGTGTATGTGTGTGTGTGTGTGCGCGTGCGTGTGACAGTTTCAGCAGTGTGTATGAGAATATTTCACTAGTGTGCCAGAACATTTCATTAGTGTATGAGAGTGTGAAAAAAGTCAGTGCAGTGAATGAGAGTGATTCAGTAGTTTGCGCGTGTGTGTTTCATTAGGGCGCATGAGAGCATTACAGCAACGTGTGAAAGCATTTTAGTAGTGTATGAGAGCGAGTAGTGGCTGTGAGACTGTTTTACTAGAGTTTTTGTGAGCGTTTTAGTGGTTTTGTGTGAGAGCATTGCAGTAATTGTATGTGCTCAAACAATTCAGCAGCGTGTGAGAACGATGTAGTAATGCAAATAAAAATCAATCAGTGTAGTAAATGAGAGAGTTTCAGTAGTTGGCTGCAAGTATTTCATTAATGCACATGAGAGCATTCAGTTATGGCCTACATCATTTTAGTAGTGTATGAGAGCGAAAATAATCAGTAGTGGCTGTGAGACTGTTTTACTAGAGTTTTTGTGAGCGTTTTAGAGGTTTTGTGTGAGAGCATTGCAGTAATCTACGTGCTCAAACAATTCAGCAGTGTGTGAGAACGTTGATGTGGTAATGCGAGCAAAATTCAACACTGCAGTAAATAAGAGAGTTTCAGTAGTTGGCTGCAAGTATTTCATTAATGCACATGAGAGCATTCAGTTATGGCCTACATCATTTTAGTAGTGTATCAGAGCGGGAAAAAATACTCTGTGGTGCATTTGAGAGTGTTTTAGTAGTGGCTGTGAGTGTTTCAATTGTGTGAATGCGCAAAAGCTAATTTTATTCAGATGTGTGTGAGAGCCCTTTAGCAGTGTGTGAGAGTGTTTTAGTAGTGTGCTTGAGCAAAACATTTAGTGTGTGAGCATTTTGCTGAGGTATATGAGCGAAAAAGAATCATTCAATAGTGTGTTAGCGAGTGTTCTGTTGATGACTGTTTCAGTAGTTAGTGTGACAATGTTTCATTTGTGTGTGTGTGAGAGGTAGATCTAAAATTCATAGCCTACTTGTACACCAGCACTGGACATGACCTGCTGTCCTACCTTTGAGTATCTCCAAGCTGTAAGATTCTGCGGCGTAACGTGTCGAGCGGTGGGAGCCGGCCGAAGGTGGCGAGAAAAGAGAGTCCGACTGCTGCAGTCTCATGCGGCACTTCCACAACTTCCAGTCGGGGAAGTCTGCAAGTCTGAGCAGCTCGTCAAGGCTGGAGGCTGAGCGTACCTTCCTCTCCCACTGCTTCATTACCTGTAAAGACCACACTCTGTCATCTTTTCATTTACGGTACATGGTCACAAACATTCTAAAAACTGAATTCAAACAAGGCCTCAAGGTTATGTAAAGACTAAACTAATGTCTAAACTCAAATTTCTGACTTGTATTAAACCTCTATTGATTGTATTAATTTTTTTTTTTTTGCCTGATAGTAAGAAACAGAAAAGAATCAAACCCCCACTTCCAATGACGTTGAAAACAAAGATGATTTAGGCAACATTGAAGGGTGAAATGAAACAGCATCTGGCTGGGAGGGAAAGTAAAAACAGATTACAATGATTTGCAAATCCTTTTCAACTTGTCTTCAATTGAATACAGAACGAGGACAAGAACTATTGAGTGTTATTGTTTTTTGGAAATATTCTCTCATTTTGAATTTTATGTCTTTAACACATTCCAAAAATGCTGGAATAGGAGCAAGAAAAGCTTTGGAAATCACGCAAAACAATGCCCCATTTGGAACATTCCACAGGTGAAAAATTTAATTGGAAACCGGTGAGTGTCAGGATTGGGATACAAAAGGAGTATTATCAAGCAAGGATGGGGTAAGGTTCACACAACAACTTCTTGAGCAAATAGTCCATCAATTTAAGAATGATTCTAAATGCGCAATTTTAGGAAGTTTTTGCGATTTGGTCATCCATAGTCCATAATATCATCAAAAGACTTTGCACATGCGCGACTGATTTTTTGAGAATTTGGAGAAATCTTTGCACGTAAGGCCGAAAACCAACATTGAATGCCCGTGACCTTTGATCGCTCAGGCAGTACTCGCAGCATCATTGTGTAAAGGACTTTGCCACGTGGGTCAGGAACGTTTCAGAAAACCAGAATCAGTTATCACGGTTGGTCGCTACATTTATAAACGCAAGTTAAAACGCTACAATGCAAAGCGAAAGCCATAGATCAACATCGCTGGCTTCTCATTTGAGAGGCACTGACACAAAGTGGAAAAGTCTGCTGTGGTCTGACGAGCCCATGTCAACTTGTTTTGAGAAAAGAAACCATGCGGATTAGTTCAAAAGCCAGCATCTGTGATGGTTTAGGAGAGTTTTTCCGCCCATGGCATGGGTAGCTTGCACATGTGTGAAAATGGTGAAAGTTGCAGAAAGGTTTTGGAGCAAGATATGCTGCCATCCAAGCATTGTCCTTTTTAGGGACATCCCTGCTTTATTTCAACAAGACAATGGCAAGCCACATGTCCTGTGTGGCTTCGTAGTAAAGGACTGTATAAGACTTGCCCGCCAGCAGACCTGTGTCCCATTGAAAATGCACCAACTATGACAATGGAGACTACAGACTATTGAGCAAATAAAGATGTACATCAAACAAGAATGGGAAAGAATTCCACCCACAGAGATTTCACCATTCGTGTCCTCAGTTCCGGATTGCCTATTGAGTGTTGTTAAAAGGAACGGAGACGTAACAAAGTGGTGAACATGCTCCTGTCCCATTTTTTGGCAACATGTTGCAGGCATGAAATTCAAAATGAATTTATATTTGAAAAATAACCCCCCCCCCCCAAATGATCAAGTTTAAAATGAAATGTCTTTGTAATGTATTTAATCAAATCTAGGTCAAAAAGGATTTACAAATCCTTGTGCGTTTTACACAATGTCTTAACTTCACTTGAATTGGAGCTTGTCAATTTGCATGCAAACATCTTGTCTGACACAAGACTGAAACAATTTATCTTTGAGGGCTTGGTCAGTACTCAGAATCTCACAATCATGCAGCCAAGTGTCTGGTCTCCAGCATGTCATCACCTTCACAGCTCACTCTGTCGACACTCTCGTGTTGCGTGTGCATACTTACATAACACAATATAACCTGTGAGGCGGAGACAGCAATTCTCTCAAATCAAAAAATAGCTTTACTCCTCCAGCATGTACAAGAGAGCCACACGTGCTGTATGATTGGCCATCAGGGGCATAATTCCTTTCACACCCACTTGTGATTTATTTATTTTTTTAAACAAATACGAATGAAACATTCTCAGACACACTACTGAAACTGTCTTATGCACAAAACATTTTCAAATACACTATTGATTTTTTTTTGTCACAGAAACACACTACTAATATAAGAGTTTGTTCACACTACTGAAACGTGTCTTTCATTATGTGTATTTTGATAGTAGCATTTCAATTGTGTGCGAGAGCTTCAGTAGTGCATGTGATGGAAAATGCACTACTGTGTAAAGAGATTAGTAGTGTATGAGAGCATGCACCATACCCATCTTTTCATTTTCAACACCGCTTATCCTGAAGAGGGTCAGCGGGTTGCTGGAGCCCATCCCAGCTAACTTCGGGCGAAAGGTGGGCTACACCCTGAACTGATTGCCAGTCAGTTGCAGGACAAATATAGAGATGAACAAATACACATCTACGCCGTAAGAAATGATCCCACGCTGCCCGTTCACAAGTCAGGCGAGTGTACCACTATACCATCAACAATGTACTGTATATGAACTGAGAAAGAAAAAAAAATATCAGTCGAGCATGTGCAAACTTTTCAGTGGTGAGTGTGAGTGTTTTCGTAGGATTTTATATATATATATATATATATATATATATATACACACACACACACACACACACACACACACACACACACACACACACACACACACATATACACACATACATTCACACGCATACATAACTCAGTAGTTTGCGATGACATTTCAGTACTGTGAATTATTGAAGGGGGAAGTGAAACGACAGACCTCTGGCTAGGAGTGAAAAATAATGGAATCAAGGTAGAGATAATGGAAGTTGGAAAAAAAAATATCAAAGTACAGTTGTCACTGATTCAAACATCGTAGCTTCTTATTTCAATGATTCAAGAGAATCCCCAACTACCTCAAATCGCATCTTTTAGGACATTTATTTTTTTCGACCAAAAAAAAAAAAAACACTCAGGTGCCATTGGTATGTGGTCGGTGTGTGACTGCTTTTTACTGAGGTTCGTTTATCATTGGTGACTGTCAATGGTGTTTTTTTTTTTTTAATGTAAGACTTCTATTTAAGTACAGAGTGAGAGTGCCACTTCTGGTTACAGTGAAGTATGCTTTGCAGGTTAGCATTCACCCGCCTGAAGACCGCATCTATCTATCCATCCATCCATCCATCATCCATTCACCCAACGCACTCCAACCGCACTACAAGCTCTTGCGACTTTTGTGTATGAAGACAAAAAGGTCCACTCACCCTACTTCCAACCTGTCTTTGCAGGCCGAGGCCCCCATTGATCCAGCTGAGCTCCACCAGCAGAGTCACCAAGCAGGAGGTTCGATAAAGAGTCTGCTTCATCTTCACCAGCATCCCCTGGATCCTCTGCTCTGGCCTCTGAGCAGCACTCGCTATGAACTTGTCTTCCTTTTCACAGCTGGCTACCTCTCTGAGGGCCAGACCAGCTGATCTCTAACGTGTATGTGCTGCATAAACTCTCAACCCTGCTCTGTGGGTGTGTCTGTGTCTGCGTGAGCCAGACGCAACCTGTCACAAAAGCAGCCCCCAGACACCCGCCAGCCAAATGGAGGGGCTTTACAACTCGGAACGTCTTATTTGTGCAGCTTTGATGCGGTGTTCACTTGAGTAAGTAGGCAATGAGCTAGAAGCTGAAAAGGACCTCATAAAATTCTGAGTCCCTTGAAGGCTTCTTATCACCCACCTTCTCCTTTGTCCAAATGGAGCCAGCAAAAAGCTCGGAGAGAAGTTCAGTCTGTTTCCTTTCTCTTTGGTTATGAATCTAAGTTAGTCATTGGCTGCCTTACACCTACTGTACCTCTTAATCCACAAAATGTTTTTTGCCTTATTTGCTTTGAGCTCTCAACCTTTCCTTTCAGAGCTGTTAAATCCCATCATCATGAATTTCTTCTGCACACACACAAGCACTAACATGTGTTTTAAATGTGATCCAGACCTCTGTCACATGAGAGGGGGCAGACAAGCAACTTGCACCGCCCCATGATGTCCCACAGATGATACCCCTCCTTACTTGGAGGAAATCACCATTAAGGAAGATATTTCATTGAAGCCCGAATCCCATCGAGCGACGAAGGTTTGAGTGTTTGCAAAGGTAGCAAATTTTTTTGTCAGGGTTCGTTCAACGTCGCCGACTTTTGCAAAGACATTCAAAAAAACGTTTTTCTTGTAGCCAAGAAATTTTTAACATGTTCAAAATTTTTTCTGCATATTATTAGAACGTCGATGCAAACATTTGCGACCTTGAATGAACCCTGATGAAAAATCAACATTCGCTACCTTCGCAATCACTCGCAAACGTCAGTGGCATAGACTTGGGCTTGTAGAATCTAATGAGATCCAGCAGAAGAGTTGAACAATTTCCGATGAAAAGGACAACACACAGTCAGAGTCATCAAATTATCAGTTGTGTTCTGAATTCAAAACAATTTTAATATTATTAACAAGTAAACCTCGCCCCACAACTCCAAAATACAGGGGACTGTATTATGAGGACTAGTACAAGACAGAATAAAGAATTAAATAAACTTCCATAATGGGATTTGGTCATTTGTGCTGGGATACCTAATTCATTTATATGCAGTTCGGAAATGACACATTTAGTAAAATTACAATTTCTTTTACTTCCACATAATTATATTTTGTGAACACATAAAAAAATATTCAAGACAATGTTGGATGCAGCGTCCTTCAAGTGGCTTGCAAAAGAATACGGGGAACTGATTTAAATGTACAAACCTCTATTTATTTATTTAAAAAATTCTTTTAAAAATTCTATATATTTGTTTTGCACAGCTCAGTTGTATTTGACTTGTTAGGACAATATATTGACTTGTAATCTTTTAGAACTGTTTGTTTTGGTGCAGTTTTTATTCACCTTTTACGCACTAAGCATTTTCAATGAATCATTATTTATAAGTATAAGTAATTTTGTTTTATTGTCATTTTCGTAAGTGCAGTGTTAATGTTCAAAATGTGTATGACATTACAATGGCTTACAACAATTTTAAATAAACCTTTTAGAAATAAAACCTCAGTTCCATTTTTTTGGAGCACTTGATGTTGGTAATTGTGGTAGCACTTCGAGAGCGAGAATATTATTTTCAGATGGCATACGGCATAGAAAGGTTTAAAAACTACTGTGCTAGGGTGTTGTTGTTCTAATAAAATGGAATGTAAATTTACTTTATGACCAAAGAAAGATTACAAAAATAGATGCAAGTAGCAAATAATATATTTTGTACAACATAATGGTCAAAAAGAATCTCGGATCTGAGATCGCCAGTTTAAGGCTCGCTCAAAGCCATTTTGACCATTTCTGTAATCACTGATAGCCTGGTTGATCTCTTCCTGCGTGTTCATTACAAATGGACCTGAAGAGCAAACACATGAAGCGTTTGTTCCATTTAGTATACACACATCGGAATGTTGTTGACAAACAAATGAACAAATGTACCATGCTTCACGACAGGCTCATTGATGGGTTCTCCAGCTATCAGGACAAAATGGCAAATGTCGGAACCCTGAAGAGAAAATAAAAGAAGTGGACTGAAGTAGAATGACACAGAAAGAGAGAGTATATAGAGCAGGTGTGTCAAAATCATTTTTGGTGCGGGCCACATTTTAGTAAGCGTTTCACTTGGAGGGCCATTCTGACTGAATCCATATAAAGAAGTCAAGAAGAGCTGTTGATTTAACTATTGTTTAAGTTACGATCATGAGGAGTTTGGCAACAAGAAAATGCTCAGAATATATCTCTTATTTATTACATATGTGAATTTAAATTATGAGAATTTTGATAGACATTTTAGAAAGGATCATGGAAGTTGACATGTTTGATCTGCTTTTGTGGGCCACATAAAATGAGGTGGCGGGCCAGATCTGGCCCCCGGGCCTTGAGTTCGACACCTGTGATATAGAGTATCTCTTACCTTGTTTTCAAATCGAATACTGTCCCCATCTCCAAAAACCACCGTGTGATGGGGCTCCACCTTCTGCTGCTCCTCATCAGGGCCTTCAAGAGAACAATGTCCAACTGGAACACCTCAGTCTCATTAAATTGATCCCCAAAAATGATCCAAGTGACAAGTATTTGACTCATTGTTATTGTGCCATTGAACATGTGGTGTTGGACGCTAATGCAATTAAAGTCAAATGCCTATTGTTTTGGGTTCATAAACACATCTGAGAGCAATTTTGCCCAATCTGAGAAAGGCTTGCTTGTCACTAATAAAACCTTTATGACATTTTTGGAGGGAGAAATAGATGTCTCACTGGAAATAGCAGTTTTTGTGTAAAAGCGTTTCGTCTCTCACACAAAACCAGATCAAGTGCAAACAGGGCCCCCGTGATACCATTCCAGAGACATTGTCCCCAATGTCCACGAGATGCTGCAAAGGCATATTAACAAGGACAGCCCCACAACATACAGAGCCTTTAGGAACGCTGGACAGATCTCATCCACCTCTGGAGTTTGGCCACTGAGGAGCTTTTTAACCACCTCGGTGACCAAAACCACAGAAATAAGAGAGTGCACCTCAGACATGTCCGAAACATGCCATTCCAGGTCTCATTGTCATTGCCCATTGAGCATTAAAGTCCCCCAACAAAACAAGGGAGTCCCCAGAGTGGGTGCTCTCCACCATCCCCTTCCATGACTCCAAGAAGGGTCGGTACTCTGAACTGCTGTTTGGTGCATAGGCACAAACAACATTCGGAACCCATCTCCCCACCTGAAGGCAGGAGGCTATCGTCTCGTCCACAGGGGTAAACTTTAACGTAAAGGAACAGAGCTGGGTCAGCAATAAGTATGCCCTCACCTGCAGCGCACCTCTCACCATGGACAAACCACAAAACAATACCTGGTATCGGTGCTCGCCCATCCTTCGGTAAAACTATTCCCAAAATCTTTTGAATGTGGTCTCTCTATATCTCAGATTTTCACCTATAATTGCAGGTGAGGCTAAAAGGGGGTTGTCTGTACACAATTAATTTTGATTCCATGTTAACAGCAAAATGTTACATGACGGAAATAAAACAAGAGTCGTTCCTGTTAAAAGTCTAGGACTCACCAACATGAATGGTTCCTGACAGAGTGTAAATGAAGGCAGTCCATCCTGTGAAAATTCAAACAATTATTTAAGTGGTACGGCTTGCATGTGGCTAACAAAAGTAGAGATAGTTCCCTTTATAAAGCATGAATCATCTAAGTGGAGAATAAAGTAAACATAACATAAACATCAACACGTTACTCATTTGATTGCCAAATATGTCAAATCTGACCAACAGAATACTTTTTATATTTTAAAGCCCAATAGTTCTCCATTTGATAGAAACTAGGGCCCGACTGATCTGTATATTTTGAGGCCGATGACGATTTTTAGCAGAGAAAAATATAGAAGACCGATTAATAGGCTCATTCATTGAAAAAAGGTAGATTTTTATCAGAATGCATCAAATAACATCCCCATTTAACAGATTATTTTGGTTGATGGTTGAAGGGCCGTAATCGGCTAATTAGTCAGTCATCCGATTAATTTTAATACTTCTTTTCTATGGACCACAGCAGAACGATTTCAATAACCAAACCTCTTCCATACATTCAATATACCTTATGACTATTATTTACCTGATGGGACTGGCTGTACATGTTGGGCTCCAATCTTCAGCACAAAATCCAAATACATTGTCGGTGTCCTTGTGTAGACCTTGGACTGTAATACGGCGTAAGTCAATACGCAAACCAATGGAACACACTGTATAGAGGAGAAACAAGCAGAAACCTTTGCTCCTAAGGCTTCTCCAGATATCACAGCCACAGTGACCCCACCGTGAGTCACTTTGGGGATATCTGAGCTCTGCAGTTCCTGATAGGCTGGTTCCACCATCTTATTCTGCCTGGACAGGTTCACCCACAGCTGCAAACCCACCAAGGGTTCCTCAGACATGGGCATCTCAGCATGAACCACTCCCCGTCCTGCAGTCATCCACTGATCGCGCGCACACACACACACACACACACACACACACACACACACACACACACACACACACACACACACACATTTTCACATCTTTTGAAGCAGAGCAATTATCACGTAAACCTAATTAACCCTCCTGTTACCTTCAATTGTATTTACATCTGTTATCTTTGGTGCTCATTTGAGCACAGCAATTTAACCAGACAGAAAGTGATGAAGGTATCTATGTTGCTGAACTTACGAGGTCCTGTACATTGTGTGTTAACTCTCCAATTAGACCAGTGGTTCTTAACCTTTTAAGAGGTCCTGAACACAACCAGTTAATATGCACATGCACCGAACCCGTCATGAGTGAAAAATAAATACATATATATTTTTACAAATTCAAGATATAAAAAAAACCCCGCATTTATTAAAAACAGAAAAAAGTTAATAACATTTCAAGGGATAAGTATACTCTTTTTTTTTTAAATGAACGACGTACTATCACGACAGTGACACGCTGACTACGAAGCAAACTAAATTTCCCACAGCACTGATTAGACAACCAATGTCATGTGATCATCTGCAGCCAATGATGGCCAAGCGGGTGTGTCATAACTAATAAACATGTTGAGTTGCGTGTGTCTTACCCTTCATGGCAGAGGCTCCGTCGAACCCCTGAGACCGACTCACCGAACTCCTGGGGTTCGATCGAACCCAGTTTAAGAACCACTGAATTAGACCATTATATCAAACAATCCCCAACCAGTACAACCAGAACACCAGTTACGGGATTTTTGAGAAATATACAGATGACCATAAAATCTCACTGATTTACATTAACCTGGAAAAATATATATTTTTAGTCTTTTAATGTCTCTGAACCAGGCCCTGCCGCGAATAGTAAAAATCCAAAAGTAATCGATGCCCTTAACCCCTCAAGAAAGGTTAAGATTCCACAAGATGGTGGCAAAAACAGCTCCTCTATTAGACAGGTCAGTGGTGTGGTTAACTGAAGCTCCTCTGCTCACTTCAAGTTAGTTCCTTGGCATCGCTGTGCCACAAGATGGAGTCAAAGCAATACTTTTATATTAGGCTTGGCTTTGGTCTGAGCATAAAAACATCAAATGGGTGAGTTTCTTAGTGATAACAGAGGACTGCGAATTTGCGAATGCCGAAAACGTGACAATTTGGCGGTTAATGCATATTATTTCAAAATCCATATTTGTTCGAGCTAAAACATCTGGAATGAAAAACCGTTTCTGTTACCAAGAATAGTAAACTGTGTGAGGTTTGAGCTCAAATTGACCAGATGTAAAAAACAAAAACAAATAACATTCAAGAAGGGTTTTTAAAAGTAAAACCATTCATAATCATCCTCCAACTTTAGGACATTGAAAAAATATCTTCACATTAATTTTGTTGAACTTTGTGTCTATCCGATTGGCACCGGTCAATTTGGAAAGGTCATGAAATATCGAGCAAAAAATATAAAATGTCAATCATATCCTTAGAGATGTTAATCATATAATGAGTTCTAATTTACCTCAAACGTAATGGCAGTATAAAAACAGTATGAGACACATTCCTCATTTTAGTTATTATAAATGTGAAAATTAATTTGTATTATTTAAAGCTGATTGTGATTTGGTAAGCTTTGAAGACAAAGTAAGCTTTCATCATCTTGTGTATTTTATTTTATTTTTTTTAATGCTCACCTACAAACTTGCTACCAACGCTTTTTGCGACAGACTGGCATGGCATTTCTCCTCTAAAATTCAGCCCAATAATGTTGGAAAATAATTACTTGCAGATCTCCAGGTTTCAGTCGCCCCGAATGGCCACAGAAGTCTTCATGGGCTATGGCCCCTTCCAACACGTACGTTACCTGTTGGGGGAACAACACAGTGAAGGTGTAGAAGATAACACAGCAAATGTTGACGCGGCAACGCTATACTGCCAATCAATCTTCCTAAAACTGTGAAAAATGGTCAGCAGAACAAGCTCACTCGGACAGATAAGACCTCCACCATCTGGAAGATTAAAGGACGTTTCATCTTGATCCTGAGGACAGTTTCAAGGCAACAAAATGTCATAACATTGAACATAAGCACAACAGGCGGCTTTCTCAGTGAGCTTGACCGATGGCGATGGAGAGGCAGTCAAAATATCGGAAAAGTAGGTTCTTGAATTTGCTCTCTGGGCACAACTTGAAGTGTCCATCATCCCCGCTGGTGCTGCGATCACAGCAGTGATGGGATAAGAGCAGTGGTCCAGTTTCGTGAAAAAGGCAGGATCTGATCTGAGTGCTTTATCTTTCCAACAACAATAACATGAAGATGATTAGAACACACCTAATTTTATTAAAACGCAATTTTTAAGTATTCCTTCTTACCTGTTCTCACTCTTTCTCGCATAGTTCTGCACATAAGTGCCAAAGCACGTTTGCTTCTAGTTGTTTCTAATTCCCATTTTAAAATTTATGATCTCACTGACACATAAAACAAAAGAGAATTACAGTTTAAACACCTGTAGGTTCAACCATATGATTCAGTCACACAATGTAAACATCAAATCTGGGTGACAAATGGTGTTTTGCTGAGCTTTGTTCTGACATTGAATATACACTGAAGCATTTTTTTTTAAAATATAATAATAATATTACTTTTTAATATCCAAATGAACAAGCCAACAAACTGAACCTTGTTGGAGAGAATCACATTAGATGAAGTGTCATGTTCCAGGTCTTGTTCATGCAGATCGTGCCGCATGTGTTTTTGTATGTGTGTGTGTGTGTGTGTGTGTGTGTGTGTGTGTGTGTGTGTGTGTGTGTGTGTTCCTTTTGGCTGCCCCAGTGGCCAAGAGAAGAGCTGAGCTCAGGGTCGGGAATTCAATAGGGAAAGAATTTAATGGGGAACATCTGAAAGCTCGACTTCCTACTGCGAGCCTCCTGTGATCTTTCAGCACAGCTGTATCTTCTCCAAAGTCACGAGAATGTGAGCAAACACACCTGCAGAAAGGCATGCTGGGAGTACAGCCCAAAACACCCACACTGGGAGATTAATCTGGAACGTTTGCGATAAAGTTGTTTTAAGTTTGTGTTTGTAGATCCAGTGAACCCCCTTGCATCCTCACTAACCATTGCCACGGTGATTAATGTCCAGCCCATAAGGCTTAGAATTAATAATAATAATTAATAACAATACATTTGATTTGCAATGTACTTTACAATACAAAGTGCTACAGAGAATTTAAAGACAAAGTAATAAACAGAAAAGGCTACAGCTGACAACTGGTGAAAATAAAAGCACACTTGGAGTCAGGAAAAAAGTAGAGGTTTAAAATGTAAAATGAATAGAAAGGTTTTTAGCTTCCTTTTGAAGGTCTCCAAAGTTTGAGGAGACCTCAGAAACTCAGGGAGTGCATTCCAGAGTCGTCATGCCACCGTTTTGGAAAGCCTTCTCTCCCGTCATGGTGACCTTAGTCCTTAGACCGGAGTTTCCTTGTGGAGTTACGTGGGCTGAAAAGCTTGCTCAGGTATAAGAGGGCATTTCCATGAACACACTTGTGGGTAAGTAGGTAGAGTTTCTAGTGAGATTGGGAGAAAGTAGGTAGCCAGTAGAGAGTCTGGAATAGGTGTAAAATGGTCGTATTTACGAGTCAGGATCATGGCAGCGCAGTTTTGTATGCGCTGGAGTTTTTGCAGGCTCCTGCTTGAGACCCAGACGGGAAGTGAGTTGCAGTAATTCAGCCTGGATGAGATGAAGGCATGGACCAGTTTATTAGCATAAAACAAAGAGGAGAAAGGGTGGAGTTTGGCAGTGTTGAGATGAAGGAAGGAAACCTGTGAGATGGCAGGTGTGGGTGTCAAAGGAAAGATGAGAGTCAAACTTGACACCTAGGTTTGTGGCAGTGGGGGAGAAGAGAATGTTGCGGCCAGAAATAGTGATGTTTGTGATGGGGAATGACTGACTTTGGCGCTCTTTAACTGGGTGAAGTTGGATGTCAGCCATGGCTTCATCTCCTCCAGGCCGGCACTGAAAGCAGTTGTTGTGGCTGAGGGTGATAAGCGATGAGCGTCATCAACATAGTAGTAATAGTAAACACCATGCCTGCTGATGAGCTGACCCAGGGGAAGCATGTACTGTAATTGGTAAAAAGGACTGGCCCAAAAAATGAACCCTGTGGCACCCCACCCATGTGGCAGTGTAGGGTAAGCATCTTGAGTTCCCCTGGGAGAGACACTTAGCTCTACCTGTGAGTTAAGACTGAAATAATTTGGAGATGGTTCCAGAGATTCTCACAATGGACTGGGGCCACTGCAAAAGAAAATTGTGGTCCATTGTGTCAAAGGAAGCGGAAAGGTCAAGGAGAACAAGAGAAAAGGGGGAGCCAAGGTCAGCAGTCACTAGTAGGTCATTGGGAACCCTTGTGAGAACTGTCTGGTATTGTGTGCTCTGCAGGAACCGGATTGAAATGATCATACTCATTGTGAGTGTCGAGGCGAGTGTAAAGTTGAGCAGCAACAACTATAACCTTGGAAATCTTCCGGGTTTCGTGGCCGTGAAATAAGGCAGAGCTGAAGAGAAAAATTTATAATAGCAGCGATGAGTGGGTTTATTGCTGTGACTGGCTGAAATTGTTTCTCACTTTCAAAAGGGAAAGGGTGTCTCCCAGACGAAGCTCGCCCGAGACTATGATTTGGCAAAGTCAACCATTTCGACAATTTTCCGTAATGGCAACGACATCATGGCAGAGTTCGTGGCCAACAGATTGAGAGATGATCGTAAATGGCTTCGGGGCGTGGCACATCCAGAACTGGAGAAGGGACATATCATTTGCTAACTGAATGGTCATTTATTGATTATTTAGTTTGAATATATGTATTTTGATCAGTGTCTGTTCGATTTGCGACAGTGCCTGATACCAAGAAGACATGATTACACTGACTCGTGGTTTCTTGTACTATACTGAACCAACTGCCTGCTTCTAAGTTTTGCTGTAATTAAGCTACTATTTTCTCAAATGCATTTAGCCACATAAAGAAAATAAAAACTTTTTCATGGTTCTGCACAGTTGTTCGCATTCAACATAATGCATAAGCAATAAATAAATTGTACATTTATTTTCACACATTTTCAAGTCATTCTAAATATGCAATGTGTGTATTGGAGGAGTAAGGGACGGGGGGAGGCTGGCTTGGGACAGACCACTTGTGCTCGCCTTTGCATCTGCCAAGCAGTGATTGTCACATCTAACAGTTTTGAAATTTGACTTTAATTTAATCCACTTTAAAGATGAACCATAAAGTGGTGAAAGGAATAATTATGCCATGGAGATGGTGCATTTGTGATACTCGTGAATGACGTGACGTCATCCTTAGTACCAGTCTCCATTAAATGATGACACCTTGCACCTCTGTCAATCTCCTCCCTCCTCAATGAAATTTCTAGCATGTAAACAGAGGAGCCAAGAACGAGGACCAAAAAAAAGTTGTAAATGAGATGAGCTCTTGGTGTCAAGTAACTGTGTTGATGTGAGCTGAGAAGTTTCATTTGAAAAAATAATGCTTTGCCACCTTCTTGCGAGATCTACAGGCAATTAAAAAACTTTATAGGACCAATTCCTGATGAGTCTCGCTGGAACATGTATTTAAACTCAGTTAATTTTAAAATATACTGAATATGTTTTAAAAAGTATTTAAATACAGGATGACTATAGTTTATAATCACATCTGTCATAATGTGGCTCAATGATTATAGCAAATATTTTCAAAAGTCTATACCGTTTCAAAACCTCTGTGAGGGTGGTCTGGAAAACCTGCAGGCTTGCAGACACGAAACTCATCCAGCATCAGAAAAGGATCCAGGTTCTCCAACTGGGAGAGACATTTGGGAATAAGATCATGCCTAATAGAATGAAAGTTGATGTATTCAGAAAGTAGTGATAACTCAAAACATATTTATCATACGTACCTCTTTTCTACCAATGCTTCTGCGAACACGAGCGCCAACTCCCTCAGTCTGTTCAACACTCAGTACAGTTTTCTCCACTTTTCTCATGTTTATTGTGCTGTAAAATAATATTAGTATTACTATTATGATTATTATTCATAATTACAATTATAATACTAATCATAAGAATAATAATAACAACAATAATAATATGTAAAACCATGACTGCTATATACAAAATCTACATTGTAAAATTTCCAGATAACAGTAACATTATTATAAATGTGAATAATTGGGGGTTTGAAAATAATGGTATGGGTTCGAAGCTTGGTACCCTTCTACTGTTTCTTTTGCACTGAATTTTTCACCAATTTAAATTAAAACCCTGACTTCAACCATCACAACCGCTACCTGTTCCCATCCCACGAAATGTATTGGTATCTAGTAGTAAAATCTAGATCACAATAATACAGTATAATGAAGACTAACCAGCGGTAGATTTAGAATAAAAAGATTTTTTTTAATTAATTATTTCAGCCGGAGTCAGCTGATCACTAAATCGCGTTCCAGTGACGTCATCTCCATGCTGCATTTACAATCATTTTGGTGTTTGTGAATGCTCAACACGCGAAAAGGATTCATGCATGTCATTGAAAGCAAAAACAAGAACAGATTACAACTGTCTTCGCTAAATATTTGAAACTGCGTTTCCCATGTACGACGTGTTTGAAAATGAAGAGGAAAGTCGCACCTTGAAATTTGTTCGAAGCAGATTCGATATATTTCTAGACGCGAGCAAGCAATATTTAATTTTGCAGATATAATTTAATTCACACACTCACCTTCAAAATAGTGAATCCAAGTGTCTGCGTTATTTTCTACTTACTTGCAGCAGCAAAACCCGGAAGTCATTCGGTGGGCGTGGCTATTAGTCACAGTGACGCAGCGATTTCTTGCCCAAAGAATTTAATCCAGCAGGACGTAAACATAAACAGAAATATAATCATTCAGTACAGTACGTGTACACCGTATAACCATGGCAAATACTTCTAATAGCTTTTCCATAACACTCTTCTGCAGAAGTATTCACACTTTGTAGTTAAATATAAGTACAGATGCTTAAAAAAAACAGAAGTAGAAGTGCTTCTTTCATTAAGAAACGTAGAAAAAAATAGACTGAAAAGCACATACGTACACATTAAATATGCATTTTTCAGGTACAAAACAATACCACAAGCAAAATAGTTTATTTAAAAATTTGTCTTTATTATTAATTTGGGTGGGTGACTGGTTAGCACGTCCGACTCACAGTGCAGAGGCAGAGGGTTTGATTCCGGCCCCGGCATTCCTGTGTGGGGTTTGCATGTTCTCCCAGTGCCTGCGTGGGTTTTCTCGGGGTACTCCGGTTTCTTCTCACATTCCAAAAACATGCGTTGCAGGTCAATGGAATACTCTAAATGGTCCCGATGTGAGTGTGGGCGTGAATGGTTGTTTGTCCATGTTTCCCCCTGCTGTCAACCAATTCAGGGTGTACCCCACCTGCTGCCAGGGGGGACCATAATTACAAGGTTGCCTGTGACATAAAGTTTGACACATCTGCTCTATTTTACTGAACAGTGAATAATCAAGTGTTCGAATGAGTATTTGTAACCTTGGTGTTGTGTACACTGTAATCATTTGCAATGCATATCTCTGTCATGTGCAACAAAGTCGGGTGACAATTCAGATTTTAATCACACCATGAATTGGAAAAACTGCTTTTCATGCTTCAAACAGTTACACAAAAGACAGAAAAGGACTACACCAAGAACCTGAACTGAGAAGTGACACTCGCATTTGAAAGCAATGAAAAAAAATCAATGACCCAATGATCACCCAGAGATTTATGCCTTTTCTGAATGTGACCCAAAATGGTACGGAAATTTTGAAATGTCATTCTTTTGTACATGTGTTAAAAAGTTTATGCATGTGTTAAAAAGCGTATGCACACTGAGGCTGCTTCAGGTTAAATTTTACCGATATAAGCATGGATAATGAACAATTAAAAAAAAAACACATAAATGGCAAAATAGGTTGCATGTGATGGTACATCGGTAGTGTCAGGGTGACTGAAAAGCTCTGCAAAAGGTCACCTATGTGAATCACTACCTTATGGGTCCTTTGAGGAACATGCTTGCATCCATGTTGTAGTTAGAGCCATAAAAGTCCTTGCATTTGCTGAATATATTCTTCAGTTTTGGATCTTCCGGCTTTCAGCTCAGTCACCTCCAAGTTGTTGTGATGGTGCAGGATGTGCTTGGCAATTCTCATACTGGCTGCCTGTCCACCTGCCAGGTTTACTGCATGAGGTCCAATCTGTCAGTGGGCAAGAGGAACAATGCACATTGATTCTCTGCTGTCTGTTAAGTAATTAAGGTATTGTTGAACACTCTAAAATATTACCTGAAGAGCAGTGTACTGCCCCATCAAGTATAGAGGGCATCCCTCTGTCCACTGTAAACTCTCTGATATGCATGGCCAGCCATCAAGTACCTTTATGGGAACGCATGTACAGTTGTTTTGTTTTTTTGTAGTAGTTTGGCATTTGCAAATTTGTCTAGTCACAGATATTTGAGGGCGAGCCACACGCGGTAATTTATTGAAGAACCTGCACATTTACTGTTTTTGTGCTCAAGACAAAGCAAAGTTGAATATTTTTTTAAAAAACTGCTTTAGCGTCATCTGGCGGCATCTACAGGTAATTACAAATCTTTTATGGGGGTAGGTGTCAATTGTGTCAATTACTAGCTTCAGGACAGTGGCGGACCCTGAGGGCCAGCAAGGCCTTCTCTGCTGGCCTAAACATTCTCAGAAAAGTAAATTTACTCTTATGTATTTTATGTTATTTTATAATTTATTATAAGTTATTTTATTTTCATAAATATGTAAACAAAATTATTCTCTGTATTCTTTACCTCATATTATTTCCACTTAGTTGAGTGGCTTTCAATGTTATTTTAAATAACATTGAAAGCCACTCGATAAATAACTTATTTATTATGGTAAAGTTTTTAACGAATCATATATCAGCTAGCTTGCGTTGCCAGGTAAATTAAAGTTGCTCGGGGGCTTCAGGTTAAACAGAGCAGGCC